TTTTATCTTGCTATTCTTTAATCTACGACCACTGCACATTAGCCTTGTTGGCATGTTTTGAATTTTTGGGATTGTTACTGGTTTAGGGCACTGACAGACAGCAGGTGGTGGTGCCAAAAGACTGAGAGGAGGAGAGGAATGAGATTCAGCATAGGGCTGCATGATATTAGAAAAATCTGACATTGCCATATTTTGTTTTTCTGCAATATATATTGCGATATGAATACGATTTCACCAGAGTGCTTAAATAGCTGTTTGGAGGGAAAAATCATTCATTTAGATTGATTGGGGTGATTTTTGTAAGGGTGTGAATCATTTATAAAAAATAATAAACAAATGATTAATTTATTAAGCAAGCAACTATAATTACAATAGAGCAAAAAATTAAAAATAAAGTAAAACAAACAGTGCTTTATGGTTTTCAAGAGAGTCGAACTGTATTCAGGTACAGAAACTGAATAATCAAATGTAAAATAAAACTCTATAATCTTTATTGTATTAATAATTCAGTAAAATTATTCTGCATTAAAGTTAAAAATGTTGTACATTATTATGCCCAAATGCTTTACAAGACATTATGCATCTCGAAATGCCTTTAAAACACATGTAAATGATAAAGTTTCACTCTGTTATGGGTATACTTTGCAATGACTCCTCAAATCTTATGTATTCTAAATTGTTGATCAAGTATAATCCCAACTCAACTTGCATATCCTGCAATAAGACTATTGTGGATACACAATTTGCAATATTGATGCTGAAATTATATATTGTGCAGCCTTAATTCAGCTTTGCAGGTCTGAATACAATAAAACATCCCAAAAACAATAAGATGATCATATATTCACTACTGTTCAAAAGTTTGGAAATATTAGTTATTTGATTTTTGATATAGAAGCTTTGGTCGCGCGTTATCATAACTTTCCATGAGTTAATGTATACACAATCTACAAATGAAAGATACTTACAGCTGGAAACGACAAATGAACAATACTGACAACAACACTACAGCATTTATTAATCATAGTTCATCATTTCCTAATGCAATATTAAGATCCAAGGTTAGTTAACCTGTGAGTTAACAAGAACTAACATGGAATGAGTTTAATTACTGATATAAAAAATGATGAATAAATAATTGAATACATGTATTGTTTGCTGTTTGTTAATGATAGTAGAAGTACATAAACTAACATGAACTACTAAACATGAATCTTACTGTAAAGTGTGACCGTAGTTTCACATTCATTTAAAAACAGTCAATTTTGACACCATAATATTGTAATACTTAATATTATTACGATTTGAAGTCACACTTAGTTTTAAATGTACAATTCATGTTATTAATAAACCATTAATCGAGACTTTTAGCTCCATAAACTAACAATTAGGTGCTTATTAATTAGTAAGGTAGAAGTTGGTAGGGGTAAGGGCAAGCGCAAGAGGTAGAATTGCGCCTAAATCGCAGGCATCTACCTAATTGTCTTAACACAGATAACCAAAAGGGTTGAATCTTTGTATACTGCCATAAAGTATGTGCCAATCTCTTGTTCACATCTCCAGCATTTATTATCTTATATTATTTATTATATATTATCGTTTAAACATCCCATTCTAAAAAGTAAACTAGAGTGTAGTAATGCCCATGAACTATCTTATACTGTATAAATATATTGCAAGTATCTTTATCTATACCATTACTAATATCTTTTTTGCCAAATCAGTCTTAAATTTTCAATGTATTATCATTGTTGAAAAAGTTGTGTGGTTTATTAATTGAGCACAACAGAAACAGTGCTACGTGTTTATAAGGATGCTGACTAGTTTTAAATAAAAAAATATATATTTATTTCAAAATCGAAATCTTTTGTTACATAAATATGGATATTTCCTCTGTTGATCAGTTTAATGTATAGTCTAAGAATAAAGGATCAAAGAGTTATTTCACCTAAAAAGAAATATCTGTCATCATCACCCTGTCCTTGTTCAAACCCTATTTGAGTCTCTTTCTTCTGTCAAGCAAAAATATAATATTATGAAGAATCCTAGTTGCTGGGACACTTTGACAACCATAGTATTTTTTTCCAACCAGCATTCTTCCGATATCTTCATTTGTCCTCCACAGAAGAAAGAAAGAAACTTGTAAAGGTTTAAAACCACATGAGGGAGAATAAATGATGTGATAATTTAAATTTTTGGGTGAACAATCCTTTCAATTCGTACTGACCTCAAACTTTTTAAACACTGCTTAAATATTAATGTTCTAGAAACAGAATCGTATATAACAAGTAGAGCTGTAAATGTTATATATTATTTATATATATCATTTACTGTTGGCTTTTTATTTGAAAACTACTAATAAACATTAAAATAAAGGCAAATTCCTTGTTGCCAGATATTAACGCATCGAATAAACCAACTGAAAATGGAGGCAAAAAAAACAATAAACAATATTCACCTTATTCTTCGCCGACGAGTGGGCGCAGCCATTTGAATCTTTTTAGCTCGAGACTTCCGGTGTCATTCACTTCCATTCATTTTTAGACATTTAAAACTGCTCGTTTCGCTGTTTGATGTTGTAAACTCATATTTCCTTATTATATTATTCTACTTGGTCTGTATAGTCATGCAAACATTTGTTTGTAGAGCAAGTAGTTTGACCGTTTTCTGCCGTTTATTATTCCTAGTCATTTCTCCCATAGGCGACTGAATTGGAAGTTCTAAAACAATCGCGAAAACAGACGCACTTCCGCATTTTAGAATAAGGTCAATAGGCCTACAAGGGATGTTGCAGCAGCTGATAGACATCAGTTGATCTATTAACTTTGCTACGGTTATTGTACAAGTTGAGAAGGATTGTTTCATATAGTGCTGGAATAGAATGTGTAAATATCATGTTAATATTTAGTATTTTTGCTGTATTTATCTTTTAAATGCACAATATTTCCCACATGGTAAATATATAGTTGTCTATGGTGTGGAAATTTTTGTCCTGTTGATTGCTAATTAAAAATAAAAACCTTTCTGACAATGTATGTGACATTTATATGCGTTTGTGTTCATATTTATAAGTGTTATAAATATAAACATAAATACTACCCCTGTGAAGATAATAAATACCAACAACCTGTTATAAGAGAAATGTTTTTGTGCTCATAACTGAGTCTAACTAGAGTGTATGACAGGTCGTTTATTTTGCAGTCCATCAAATATTGTTTTTTATTAAATTATTAAAAGCAGCTTACATCACAGTTTTTTTTAATGAATCGTAAATTATTAAGTGTTTTTAAATAGAAGTGCTTATATTTGTTTTAGCAAGCCTTTGTTACAGTGCAGATAGGGGTGGTCAAACGAGAAGTTCCGGAGGTGGTCGATTGGCGCCGCCTCTGGCTCCATCTGGTAGTCCCTTCTTCGCATACCCAGGCTCCAATTTCAGCAGTTTTATACGACAGTTTGTGCCCGTCATGGGTTGTTTTGCATTCCAAGCATTTAATGGGAAAAGGCGTTGTTGTGTTGTCTATATTTTTTAGTCATTGGTTTCAAAACACTGTTTCGAAGCATTGAAAAGCTCCCATAACTACTGACTTATTGACTTTGTTTCTAGTGTGCTATTAGATCTCAAGGAATAATATTTCCCCACCCAGATCAATCTCACTTCACATGAACGAGTGGTTTATGTAACTCAGCTCAAGTCTCTGAAGATTGCTTTTCCCATGACTCCAAGCTGAAAATGCTCATGCAACAGCTGTACACTCCATTCAGACAGTCAGCATTTACACTGCCATGTTAAAGTCACGATCAGCCAAGCAGCCAGTGCTCTCTTGAGGAAATATGCTGCTCGTGTGTGTGTGTGTGTGTGTGTGTGTGTGTGTGTGTGTGTGTGTGTTTGTGTGTGTGTGTGTGTGTGTGTGTGTGTGTGTGTGTGTGTGTGTGTGTGTGTGTGTGCGTGTGTTAATGGCAATTGTTTTTTGTCTTTCTCAGCATTCAGCTTCACCTGCACTTTTTTGTTTTCCTTGTTGAGAGAAGATAGTGACCTTGTCAAATATGATACACACTCACCCAAACAATTATGCAAAAACATACAGACACACACACACCAACCATCAAATGCACAATAGACACGAGTAGTGCATTGAATTATCTGAACTATAATAAGAGAGGCAGCAATTTTGCCATCAATAACTGGTTCAGAGCATTGACCGTCTGTCACTAATCAATACATTTTTTGCCGTTTTTTTAATGGTATCCAAGGCGACCAAGGCCAGAGCTTTTTGACTGGCTAATTATGCTGGCGGTGGGAGGAGTTTAAAGTGATTGATTGGCAGATGGCTATTTCTTGGGCGACTTCCATGATATGCTTGTATAAATAATGCAGTTCAGTTAACAGAGAGCTAATTCAGGTCCCTTATCTCAGCGTGACCCTGCAGTAGCTCTGACTAAAACCCTGACGATGACAACATCCATTCACTGTCGACGAAGGAATTTATTGCGGTAACTTTTAGTCTAATGCACTTCATAAATAGCAGATCTCTTAGCTGCCTAAAACCAGAATATTACTGTATTCTTTTGTTTGTTTGTTTAAAATGAAGCTTTATTCATCTACTTTCAGTTTTTAGAAAGAAACTAGTTTTTAAAAAAAGCATAATGTATACATTTTATTACATTACACAGTCACTGGCCACTTTATTAGGTACACCTTACTAGTACTGGATTGAACCCAATTTTTTTTTTCCAATTTTAAATAAAATTTCCATAGTTTTACGCACATATATAACTTAGTTATGTAAATTTGGCTAGAAAAAAAAATTGAGTAGTATATAGCTCATTTCAAGGTTAATGTAAACAGCAAAAATCAAAGCTTTTTTTTTATAATATTAAGATCTCAATCTGTTTACTTGAGAAACATCCTTTTTGAAGTATTATGGGTATTACAGTTTGAGATATTATATTTTGTACTTTGTTCTTAAACAGCATTTTTTTTGTTCTTGACTGCATTGCAGGTTTAACAACAGCAGCTATGGCTGAAGCTTTAAAGATACAGAAGATGAAGATGATGATGAACCTGCACAAGACTCACAATGGCTCCGAATTCGATTCAGATGAGCTGAACTCTAACGCCGGTACAGGTAGAGCTTGCGCTTGAACTGTTTGTTTGTTAACCTGTATTTGTGTTCCTGTAAAGCTGCTTGTTTAAACTCCAGTCTGTATATGTTTAGGACAGATGGTCCTGCAATAGTAACCTGGGCTTTTGGGCGAGTTGAGCCCCAGCACAGAGCTCGCTCAGGGGGCCCATGTTGAAGGGCTGTGCTAGGTTTACAGAGACTAATGGTGACATTAATGACTGCTGCCTGACTGTGCATTTAGAGAAGACCAACAACAGACAGGAGAATAATTAATCGTACACCAGACTTAGAGATGAAACAAGAAATTTGCTGGAGATCTGCATGTTTGTGCGCATATGCTTTATATAAACCAGGAAGAACACAAATAGCAGATTAGTAGACAATCTACTTAAAATGGTCTCAAAATGGCAAAATGTTGTTCAAGTTAAATAGCATTGATTATTTAGAATTTAGATTAAATTCACTTATTCCTAAAAGTGAAGTACATTTTTTTATGAAGTTTAATTTGCAATAGTTTAATCAGCTTTATAATGAAAATTTTAGCTACATCAACAAAATGAAGGGGCAAATATTTGACCTTCCACATTTTTAAAAACAATTTATATTTGATTTAAAAGTTATAATCCGCAAGATATGTATATATATATATATATATATATATATATATATATATATATATATATATATATATATATATATATAAAATAAGTAAATTTATTTTAAAAATTATATATATATGATTTTTTCAAATAAATGTACTTATTTTGTAAAAAAAATCTAAATTAGTAATGTTTAAACATTTACGTTAAAACTGACGTTTTAATAAAATTTAATAATATTAAAATTTTTAACTCCCAACATTAAAAAAGTACATATATATATATATATATATATATATATATATATAAATATATATATATATATATATATGTGCACCCCAATTCGAAAATGATTATTTTTTTTCCATTTCTCAGTAAATGTGGTAATATATTTATGCATTTGACCAAAACAGATTTTTTAAACATATATATTTATTAAAATAATATTTTAGTCACAGAACATCTTTACAAATGGAAAAATAATACATTTAAATATATGCATATATATGCAATATATTTTTGAATATTTTATTTAATAATTTTCTCCAACATAAATTTGGGCTACTAATTTTTGAACCATTGTTGTAAATTAATTTGTTAAATAAGCATTAGATTTGCCTTCAGTACTGACTAATCTAATGCATATATATACAAATATAATATTGTGAAGCTACATATAGAAAATATTCATTTAAATGACAGATTTGTGGGGGTGTACTCATATATGCTGAGTGTTGTATATACAGTACAGTATAAATTTTTGATAAAAAAAATTCTACAAGATTTTTAAAATATTTTTAAAGTATTTTGCTTGTAAAACCTGCTGTATTTACTAGATAAAAATATAATTACCACTGTAATATTTAAAAAAAAATTATTAAGTTAATAGCTTAATAGCATTTTCAGCAAGATCCTTTAGAAATAATTCTAATTTAGTGCTGTAAAATTAGTAATGTTGAAAATGCTTGCGCTAATGTGGAAAAAATTCAGATTAATTCAAATATATAGTTTAAGTCAGAATTATTAGCCCCCCTTTGATTTTTTTTTCTTTTTTTAAATATTTCCCAAATGATGTTGAAAGGAGCAAGAATAACAAGAATGGCTAGAATAAAAGCAGTTTTTAATTAAAAAAAAAACATTTTAAGGTCAAAATTATTAGCCCCTTTAAGTTATTTTTTTTTTTTGATAGTCTACAGAACAAAGCATCATTATACAATTACTTGCCTAATTACCCTAACCTGCCTAGTTAACCTAATTAACCTAGTTAAGCCTTTAAATGTCACTTTAAGCTGTATAGAAGTGTCTTGAAGAATATATAGTAAAATATTATTTACTGTCATCATGGTAAAGATAAAATAAATCAGTTATTAAAAATGAATTATTAAAAGTATTATGTTTAGAAATGTGTTGAAAAAAATCTGCTCTCTGTTACACAAATTAATTAATTGAAAAAAATAAACAAAGGGGCTAATAATTTAGGGGGGCTAATAATTCTGACTTTAACTGTATATTAGAAATATTTTGTATTCTTCATATTTTCTTTACAGTTTAGAATTTATTCTTGTTTCTATGAGTCATACCGAATAAGTTTTGTATATATAAGCAATATTGCACTTCTTTCAGTGTTTTCTCAAAGCACCTCCTGCTAGACAGATTTTTCAGCATCACATGAAATCTGGAGTCTTCAAACAGATCAGCAACATACTAACTGTGGCTAAAACTAACTCAGATAATGTGCACTTCAAAGGCCACCCTCACAAGTGTTCATGAGGAAAAGAGCGCAGCGTTCCTAGTGCGAACAGCTGTGGACGAGCAGAATTTAGGAGAGAAGAAAAAAAGAGGCCTTCATCAGAAAGATGGAATGCAGTCAAGGAAAATCAGCATCAAGGATGACATCAGAAGAGAGCAGGGAGACAGTGAGAGATACTTTTTTTCTCCCGCGTTGACAAGTTGAAAGAAAAATTCCATGCATTATTTAACAAGATGGCCGAAGCCTGTCATACGGGTGATTGCCTGCGTTAACAGAAACAGGTGTGCGGACGGGTGTATGTTAGCACATGTGCGCTTGTTTTCACGTTTAGCAGGGAAGTCGTGTCTAGTGTAACGCACACATTATATCTCTCTCTCTGTGTGTGTGTGTGTGAGCATATGGTCAGCAGTTTTGGATCTTCACCCATCCACCCCGTTTCTCTCTCATCTCATCTGTTTGAAGTTGCCCTCATTTTGAAGATGCTGTTTTTGTGTGTGAGTGTGTGTGTTTTGGTGGGAGCGGACATGTAGAAACACACACATCTCTTCTTGTTGACTTTTAAAGCATTTGATCAAACAGTCTAGACAAGCTGACCATCTGGTGTTTATTAATTACTTGGATACTAATTACTGTAATTAATTACTGGCTAAAAATACTCAAAAGCAAGCCTCAATTGCCTTTTTATGAGGAGGTTTTTCATTGTTTTGACCTTGTCGCTGTGGCTCATTTTTTCCCCACATTCAATGGAAGAACAGCATTTTTGCGCCAAAGCCTTGTGCACGTTTTAATGTTTCTTGCTTGTTCCGTTTTCAACATGTTTAATTTGAAAAGTCCAGTGAAACCAGGAAAGAATAAAAGTAGCAGATTGGTAGAAAATGCTTTCAATATGGCTAAATGTTAAATGGCATTCGTTATTCTGAAGCATTAATGTTAAATTCAAGTATTTATCAAAGTAAAGTTTTATTTCCAGTTGAATTGAGTCATATTTAAATGTTAGGACTTTAAAGTTTTAGGCTTGTGCACAAGGGACACTTTTTACTTGCGTTTTCCGTCTACGTTTAATGCCTCGTGACTAAAGGGCGCCGATGTGATCGTGCACACCAATGCACAAAATGGCAGGCGTAAAAGCGTCATTTTTAAAGAAACGTGCTCGTTTTTTCCTTTTGACATGCCTTGTTAGAGGTCTGCATATCCATACCCAACCATATCTTGCAGGATTAAATTTCTGAATAAAGCACGGGAGCGGTCGGAAACTGGTGTAATTTGAACAGGAGCGGGCAGTCTAACAATATCGCTCCCGACTTCCGAGCGATCACACGTATGTATGCGTGTGAATGAGAGAGCGTGATGCTGTGTGTAGCTTGTTTGTTGCTGTCTAACCCCCGATCTAGACTATACTTCTAACCAAAAATGCATACAAAACTTACAGCGAGGGCCGCTCACTTCTAGACTTGTGTATATACACTGTAAAACCCAACAGTCAACAGTGCCAACAATCTAACTCAAAATTGACTGTATGTTAATTACACTCATTTGAAGATTTTTGAACTTAGTGTTGAAGGTAATGAGTTAATTAAATATCTCGTTACTTCAACTTAAATGAAGTTCACAGTTCTCATTTAGATTAGTTTTTTTAACTCAAATGGTTTGTAGGAATCAGTTTCCTCAAACGGTTTGAGTTGCCTTAACTTATTGGGTTTTACAGTACTCAGTTGGTTTGAGTTCTCTTCATTTATTGGGTTTTACTGTGCTCAAATGTCTTCGTTTACTCAAATGGATTAAGTTCAAGATACTAATTTGGATTATTTTTTAAACTTAAACAATTTGTTGCAATCAGTTTCCTTAAATGATTTGAGTTACTAACTTTTTGGGTTTAACAGTGTAGGGATACACTGATATAGAACATTTGGCTTTATATTTAAAAGCCGATAACCAATATATAGGCCAATAAATACAAATTTGATGTGTTTTTATAAGCTTGAACAACAAAACAATATAAACAAAGGAAGACTCATTTTCTTTTAAAACCTTAAATGGTGAAAAATAGGCATCAGGATTTAAACAGGGATGCACTGATATGGAAAATTACATTTAAAAGCCGATAACCAATATATAGGCCAATAAATACAAATACAACCAATCTATATAGATTTTTATAAGCCTGATCAACAAAACAAAACACAAATCTTACATCTGATTTTTTTTTCCTTGAAAAATGAAATCTGCATCTAAATTTTTCTAGAAAAGAAAACTGCATGTAACGTCATGTTAATGGCATTATCGAAAACGCTCATAGCTCATAGCCAGCAATGCATATCTGGAGAGATTCAACCAGCAGAAAAAATCCATAATTTATCAGCTTCAAATTATCGGCCCACTAATTCTCTTATTAGGCCAATAAAGATAACAATATAAGCATCAATCAGCCAATACTAATATGACAACCGATATATTGAGGCAAAAATGGCCTTTAATCAAGAAACTCGGAATTTCATGTTGACAGAAAAACCTGTCATCATATTCCCTACAGTGTCTTTCTTTACCATGTCAGTAATCTAAAGAAAAGCTGTTTCAGACCTCCGACCAAAAGCCAAAAGGCGTTTCTATTTGAGTACTTGACACCAGAGAATATACGGTCGGCACGTGTGTGTGTGTGTGTTTGTATTTGTTTTTGTGTGTTTCACAGCCCAGCTGCAGCTCCTGTTGTCTCTGATTGCTCCTGCTTTCCCTTCTGTCATCCATCTTCATCTGTCTGATTACTGTGAATTAGCGCCCTCTCACTTACGTTAGGACTCCGGTCCCACAAGATACGCGAGCGTGTGTTGACACTAGTCTTGATTTCCATGGACGTGCGGATCGTGGCACAGATGGCCACTCTATTGTACAGTATTTTGTGTCGTGGTGAAGGGTCCAGGTTGCGAAGCTTTAATGTATCCGCAGTGTTGTTTCGTGTCGTAATGAGGCGGCTTATTGTTTTTAATCAGGTTATTTTGGTCTGGCTGTGTGAAGACCTTATTGGCTGGAGAACGTGAAAGTCTTAAGGGGCCCGACTTCATCCTGCGTTATCATTGATTCCTTCGCCACAATCTGCCACCTAAACACCATCTGCTCCCAATGGCACTGACATGAATGCTGATGATAGATTATTTCAGTTCGTCGTGGCTGCCGATCGCTGAGCAACTTGCTATTTATCATTTCTTAATTCGCCTAAAATAACATGCGTTCTGATCACTTTTTTGGGAAATACTTTTTTAACTGAGTTGAACTCTTTAGTGTATATTTGTTTAAACACATGAACAGTTAAAGGCATAGTTCATCAAAATATAAAAAAGACCTACTTACACCAAAATGGTTCCATGGTTTCTTTTTTTGTTGTTGAACACAAAAGAAGGTGTTTGGAAAAAATGTAAGAAACGGACACAGTAACTACACATTAATTCATTTTCTTGTTGGCTTAGTCCCTTTTTTAATCCTTGGTCACCACAGCGGAATGAACCACCAATTTATTCAGCAAGTTTTTACGCAGCAGATGCCCTTCCAGCCACATCCCATCTCTGGGAAAACATCCACACACATTCACACCCACACTACGGACAATTTAGCCTACCCAATTCACCTGCACTGCATGTCTTTGGACTCCCACGCGAACGCAGGCAGAACATGCAAACTCCACACAGAAAAGCCAACTGAGCCGAGGCTTGAACAAGCGAACCAGTGACCTTCTTGCTGTGAGGCGACAGCACTACCTACTGCACCACTGCTTCGCCCCGAACTACACAGTAACTAGTAACTATTAACTTCCATAAGAAAAATAAAAACTTTGAAAGTCAATGGTTTCTGGTTTCCAACATTTTTCAAAATATCCTTTGTGTTCTAACTAAAAGAAAGAAAGAAAGAAAGAAAGAAAGAAAGAAAGAAAGAAAGAAAGAAAGAAAGAAAGAAAGAAAGAAAAAAAGAAAGAAAGACAGAAAGAAACAAAGAAAGAAAGAAAAGAATGAAAAGGAGAGAGTGAAAGAAAGAAGAGAAAAAAGAGAATGAACGAACGAACGGACGAACGAACGAAAGAAAGAACAAATAAAAGAAAAAAGAAAGAAAAAGTGAGAAAGAAAGAAAGAAAGAAAGAAAGAAAGAAAGAAAGAAAGAAAAAGCAAAAACAGAAAAAGAAATAAGGTAAAAGGTAAAAAAGAGTGGGAAAGAAAAAAAAAGAAAGAAGGATGGAACGAAAGAAAGAACAAATGAATGAAAGAATGAGAAAGGAAAAGAAAGGAAAGAAAGAGGAAAAAGTGAACGAACGAACGAAATAAAGAACAAATTAACAAAAGAAGGAAAAGGAGGAAAAAAGAAACAAATTGACAGAATTTTCAGTTTTGTAATGTAAAATGTAATGTGTATTTATATAGTGCATTTATCATGTATGGCCATACACCCAAAGCGCTTCACAATCATAAAGGGGGGGTCCACTCCACCAGCAGTGTGCAGCATCTACTTGGATGATGCGACGGCAGCCACAGGACAACAGCGCCAGTGTGCTCATCAGACACCAGCTATTGGTGGAGTGGAGTCAGTGATAGAGCTAATTCGGTGGATAGGGATGATTTGGAGGCCATGATTATAATGGCCAATTGACCAGGACACCGGGGTTACACCCTTACTCTTAAGAGAACTGCCATTGGATTTTTAATAGCCACTGAAAGTCACAACCTCGGGTTAACGTCTCACCCAAAAGACGGCGTCCACTGACAATATAGCATCCCCATCACTTTTACTGGGGCATTAGGACTCAAACAGACCATAGGTTGAGCACCCCCTTCTGGCCTCTGTAACACCACTCCCAACAGCAACCTAGTTTTCCCATGTGGTCTCCCATCCAGGTACTGACCAGGCTCAGTCCAGCTTAGCTTCTTGGGCTGCAGGGTGAAATGGCTGTTGCCATTTTGAATGAACTGTTCCTTTAACTGAGATTGAACTCTTTGATAATTGCACATTCTGTATCCTATAAAATGGGTCACACATACACACACACACACACACACACACACACACACATGTGCACCTCACATTTTGTCATATTTCCTGAAGACTTGAAGTGGAATCTACAAAAAATAAAAAAATAAATAAATAATAAAAAGTATTGATTTGAGCTAAATATGAAGCTTTACTTGTATACAAAAACAAGACGGCCATTTAAAGGATCATGTACAGTCGTATAATTTATCATACAGCTTTTGGCCACATAAATAATTATGAGTACATGAAATATTGATTTGAAGAAGAAACTGTTTTAAAATCTTTCCTGTTATGACGGGGGAATAACTGACCTATTTGAGAGAGATGTGTGTAATAAATATATATACACCACATACATTTATTTTTCATAAATGTTTGGGACCAAGCCGAGGGTGTCCCATTTTGCTGTCTGCATCAAATTAAACTCACAAAAGCAATTTAAGATGGACAGAAAGCACAATAAAGGCTAGTGTCTGCTTTCATGTTTCAAATAACTTTTCTGAACAGATGAAAATGTAACACTTATTCTAAGCTGTACTTACTAAATGAATACAGTAAAAGAATAAGTGATTGTCTCATTTTAGTATATTTAAAATGGTGTAAAAGATCTTGATTGACAATTGGGTAAAACCTAGTAGTCTGAAAAATAGTATCAAAGTACAGTGAGATAAAGTTCAAAATAACCCCTACCATCGCTTGTGACGCCGCCGTGGGACAAAGGGATTATTGAAATGTTTTAGGTGTAACAGCAGTTTGCAACAATGCCACCAGGGGGGCACAAAGGGATTGGATGCACACTGACAGAAATATACAGTAGCTGTAAATACCATGCTACTTGTAAATGAAGGTGAAATAACGAAACAAAGCATTATAATTCCTTGATTAATATACAGTATGAACTCATATATACTGTAACATTAGATTAAATATATTTCAGCATATATGTACATACTGTATATGCTCAAATGTATTTATATATTTACATTCTACAGCAGGGTTGCCCAAACTCAGTCCTGGAGGGCCGGTGTCCTGCAAAGTTTTATTCCAACCCCAATCAGACACACCTGCGCTAGCTAATCAAGCTCTTACTAGGCTTTCTAAAAACATCCTAGCAGGTGTGTTGAGGCAAGTTGGGGCTAATATCTGCAGGACACCGGCCCTACAGGACTGAGTTTGGGCACCCCTGCTTCAGGGCTTCTGCATGTTTCATCAAGTGAAATTTAAGACTTTTTTAGACCCTTTTAAGACCTTTATGAATAAAGTTTTAGACTTATATGGGGCTAAACACTAATGACTATTTCTAATGGCCTGGTTTGCCACAAAAAATCTATTGTAATTTTTTTTTTTGTGACATATATTAATGTGTCAAAACAAGAAAATTGTAGTTGTATACACTTTTTTACAAAAAAAAAAAAAAAAAAAAAAATATATATATATATATATATATATATATGGCTTTTGGCCCAAATTGATTGAGTAAAACTTCTAATCAACCTGAATCATTTATGTTATGAAAATTTCATGTCTATTTATAAATAATATGTCTACTCCACTTTCTTTTGTAAATAGTTTTTTGTATTAATGGAAGATTACGTAAAGGGATATATTGCTCTATTATTATCACGAGGAACTGTGTAATTGTTTTTAGTTTTCTTTCCCTGATTATATTAAGATGGATAGTTGGTGTTTGGATGGATGTCAGCCTAATTGGGTAACTTTACTTGGACAGAGGAAAATTAAGACCTGTTTAAAATGATTTAAGACAACACAAGATTTCAATAAATTTAAGACTTTTTAAAACCCTGCGGACACCCTGTTTTAATGGTTAAAAATAAAAGAATGAAAGTGGACATTTTTGCAATATTTAGAAAATTATCTTGCATATATGACATTTTATGCAGTTGAAGTCAGAATTAGGGTAATCAGGCAAGTTATTGTGTAATGATGGTTTGTTCTGTAGATTATCGAGAAAAAATATAGCTTAAAAGTGCTAATAATTTTGACCCTAAATGTTTTTTAAAAAAAAAATTAAAACTGCTTTTATTCTAGCCGAAATAAAACAAATAAGCCTTTCTCTAGAAGAAAAAATATTATCAGACATACTGTGAAAATTTCCTTGCTTTGTTAAAAATCATTTGGGAAATATTTAAAAAAAGAAAAAAAAAAGTTTAAAGGGGGGCTAATAATTCTGACTTCAACTGGATACTTATATGTATGTCATATTTGTAATTAGCATAATATCAGATTTCTATATGGTTTTGCTTGATGGAAAAAATGAATAATTGTGGATTTTATGTAAAAATTTCTCATCACTCTTTCTATTTCACCATTGACTACACAGTATGCAGCACCCTGTCCTGGGAGAGAGAGAAACATTCATCACCTGCTTCAGAGAAAACCCAGCACAGCTTGAACAACTCACAGCTCAACTCTCTCCAACACACCCATCTACTGGCCAACAGTGAGTATTAACCATTCACTTCACACTCAATGTGCTTGCGGGAGAAAATTCAACCCAAAACACAAGGCCTGTGAGCACTTTCCTACACTCTTTTCAAACAGTACCCCTATTAGGCCTATGACCACAGCATAAACCTAGTCTAATCTGAAGCCATGTGACCTGAGTTGACCTGAACTATATTTGTGATTCCTCGATTACTTCTACTTTTCCTAGGACTAGAGCTGCCCTTCATGATGATGCCCCACCCTCTGCTTCCTGTTGGACTTCCTCCTGCCTCTGTTGCCATGGCAATGAACCAGATGAACCACCTTAATACAATTGCCAACATGGTTGCCAGCGCACAGGTGCACAGCCCCGTCTCCAGGCCGACATCTGCCATCAAGGTAGGACATACAGTACTGCACAAACACAAACACACACACTCACGCTGCATCACTTCTTCTGCAAGGTCGACAGGGATTCATCACACTGTTCTGGCTGGAGTTTATTTAGATTGAGTTGTTTAATTCTTGTGTTATTTTGAAAAACGGGAAAGCATCTTTGGTGGTCCTGATAAAAAAAAATGTCTGGGATAGTGGTTGTACATTTCTTATTATTATAGAAGCAAGTTTGCAATCTGTTTTTCCTTTCAGACAGAGCTGGTTATGTATATGTTTTTGATACTGATCATGTCTTGGAAAAAGAGAGCCTGTGATACTCAAAATAGTATTCATGGTTTCCACTACATTCATTCTTCCATGGCGGGTGCCACACCAAAACGCATCCCACCATGACTATATTCCAGCTTCTTATTCAAAACATTCAATCGTTGTTGTTATTTTTAATAGCGAGTTATAATTGCACCAAAACGTATTAAAAGGTAACCGTAGTAGTGCTGTGCGTTATTTGTTTAACCCTTTGAGGTTATGTGCTGACTGACGGACGCGCAAGGCCAGCAAACATGACGTCGCTTTTCAGTGGTCCACTACGATATCATATTTTAAACTTTAGTTGATGTGTAATGTAGCCAGGGCCGGCGCGTCCATAGAGGCGACCTAGGCGGCCACCTAGGGCGGCAGTATAGAAAGGGCGGCGTCCGCGATACCTCCCTTACCACCCGCGTCCTCAGTTATGTCCGCGACACCTCTCTCACCACCCACGTCCACAGATATATTCGCGCATAGACGACAGAATAGAGAGGGTGGCGTCAGCGACAACTCCTCAGTTATATCCGCGCATAGGGCGGCAGAATTGAGGTCCGTGACACCCGCGCGTCCTCAGTTATATTCCCGCAAAGGGCGGCCGAATACAGAGCGCAGTGTCCGCGACACCTCCTTCCCTCCCTCAGCACCCGCGCGTCCTCAGTTATATTTGCGCATAGTGCGCCAGAAAAGAGGTCCGCGACACCTCACTTCATTTTCATAACCGGTCACTTTCGTTTTCACATTGGGGTTGAGGGCGGCGTGATCGTCCTCTGCCTAGAGCGGCAGTTCAGCTTGCTCCAGCCCTGAATGTAGCTGTGTGAACATAAACAACATCTCTGAATGTTAAATGCTCAAAGTTCAATGCAAAGGGAGACCTTGGTTTTTACAGAGTTAGCTTAGCAAAGCCTACAATGAACGAATTTTGGGGACTACAAAAAAATACTTCCGGGCCTGTGAGATCACAAACGTACTTTTACCGTGCACACACACTGCGCAGCTGAGGGGCGCGGCCAGAAGCGCTGTAATGTTAGAGCAGAGATAAAGCTAAAATACGTCCAAATGCTGCTATTTCCACAGAGCTTCTTCTGTTTCTGTATTTAGGCTTCCAAAGGACACGACACAAAGACAGGAGTGCTTACAGTTCAATATTAATTATGTTCCAGAGAATTAAAAAATACATAGCAAGCATGATTTGATAAAACACAGCTTCCAGGATCTCTCCCAGTTCAATGTATTCGGTAAAAATCTCCTCAAAGAAGGAGCAGCTCCAACAAGCAGAAGCTTTAGCCTGTGAGTTTTATTTGTTAAAATTGATCATGACATGCACAGTGTCTAGCCTTAACGGTGTGTTGTAGCAAAGATGTAAACAACAGGAAATGCTGTTTGGCACCACTAACGATTTAGCTACAAATTCATATTTATCAGTCAAACAGCTGTAAACACACACTCTTCACCAGTGTGTGCGTGTCTCACTATTTGCAGCTTTTCCATGCGTTCAACTTGCCAGATGATGAAGTCGCAAAAGATATGTGAACGATTCATGATACTTACACCTGCATATTCCGGATATATGTGAAAGACGTTGTGTGACGCGTTGAGTTAAAAAAATACAGGAAAGCTCGCCAAACTCGCGTAGCAGCAGAAAAATCAATCAAGGCTCACACAGGTCTCATCCCACATCTAATGCTTTATTCTTCTGTCAGCAGTGTCACGATATATTACAGAAAATAACTTAATCCGAGCATCAAAGAAAAAGAAACATCGGTCCCGCGTACTTGCATTTCTCATATTACACGCGTCTACAGACAGTTCACACACACATACACACACACACACACACACACACACACAATGGCGATCTCTCTTAAAGGAGCCGCACCCCATTTTCACTCATTACAGACACTTGTCAGATTTTATTTTAGAGAGCGGGCCTGAGGTTGACTGACTGTTTACACAAAAAGCGCATGCTTGACGGTCGTGACGAGAAGCCGATTCGCGAATCGCAGCACATTATGACACATTACCAATCAGAGTCACTAGAGGGCGGGCCTTTCAGAAGAACTATGAAATATATCAGTCGTTTTCATGTTAGCCGAGTAGCTGTGTATAATCAAAGTAAGATTTATGAAAAAATAACATGATTTTCTTCAAGTGAAACATGAGCACACATTGCTTTGCATCTTATAAACACAACCAAGCCTTAAACTTAAATTCTGGACCACCCCTTTAAGATGAACATAGTTTCCTTAATTTAAATTTATTTATAGATAAAGGTCTGAGTTTCTGTATACAATGATTTCATCTTTCTGGAGTTTATGGCCGTTTCACTTTACTTTAGGACGCATCAATGCCGCTCTGTAGGTCTATTAGAGACATTCATAAATGTTCCTAGCAAATCTAATAAATGTTGGAGACATACTCACTACATAAACACGCTAAATTGCACTTCAGCAGTGTTTATTTGAGAGCGGTAAAGAAAATCTGGGCTTGAGCAGCGTAAATTTGAGGAGGTGTGCAAGAGGTTTTGTGCAAAAGCAGAGGAAATCGGCGCACAAGCAAAAAGATTTGCATGCTCGTATTGTATAAATGCGATCTTGACTTGTAATACTGTGCTTACAACATTTCTCCATTTGTCATTAAAATAACGCCATAGGTAGTTAGTAGATTTGTGTAAAAGGTCTGCCGCCACAACTGGAAAAAATCCTAGAGGAAACACATGGAATGGTAAATGCTAAAAACAGAATGCTAAATAAAATGGTAAATGCTAAAACTTTTGAAATAAAAGGCAATTTAGATATAGTCCTGTAGTCATTAAGTGAAGCAGGATCAGGATTACTCTTTTTCGATAGTGGCTGAATAATAGCATGTTTAAAACACGTTGGAACCTGACCTAGCCTAAGTGAAAGATTAATAATTGAAACTAAACTAGGGCCAATAAAAGTGATTGATTTTGAAATTAGCGATGCAGTTAAAATACCTGCAGGGCTTTGGAATAACTTCATCATACCCATTAACTCCATTTAATCATTTAGTGTAATGGGAGAAAAAGAGATGGAATCGCATTTCCTGAAAAAAAATTTAATGTAGTGAATATTACACCCACACGACCAATCATCTGTCCCCATTATGCTTGCCTTGTTTACCAGTGGTTACTAGGTTACCAATACTACAGTCAGCTGCTCTTGATAGAAATGCACTTAATTCGCATTTTCTTTTTCTGCAAATTTTTTAAAGATTCGCTTCACGTTAGGATGGAAACCTGGTTATATTGGATTTCAGATCAACTTGTCTAATAAAGATGTGCTATAATTTGAAAAAAATGGATCAATTATGAGTGTTTTATAAGACTGAACTTTGTATTTTTACTTTTCAGCAGGAACGTTTTGAAGAAAGCCCCTCTCTGACTCCATCTGTAGAGGGGATTGTTTCTCAAAAAACCGAACCTTCACCACAACAAAGCAGTTCGGTTCCCAGTAGCCCCACACACCCTTACACACATTCTCCTCTAAAAACAGGTGAGGTCACATATTCAGAAGCACTGTCAGGGTATTTAATGGCGCATGTACATAAATTATTTGCAATATTAAACTACACAGCAATGTTTAAACTTAATACTTAAGAAAGTATTATTTGGTGATATATGACTGATTTGAAATCACAAGAAATGAAAAATCAATATTTTCACACCCCAGTGTTTTGTGTATATGGAGACATCATAGTGCTTCATGGGGATGGCAGAGATTGGTGATTGGTGGAATTTGGCATGAAATGTAGTTTTCTGCAGAAATGCTGTAATTAAACAATAAACAAAATGTTGAATAAAATTAAATGGGTTCAATATATAAACATTTAGGTTCTATACAACAATAATCTTAAAACTTAATACAAATAATACTCTTATGCCTTACTTCATATCACCTTGCACTTAAAACAAACACAAACACACAAATTTAGTAATAAATCCCTAAAAATATTTGCAATTTTGATTATGTATGAATTATATTTATATTATAATTGATTATATATTCATAATTGATCATACTAGAAATAAAATTGATATATATGTAATCTAAAAACAACCACAGAGCTGCTGTTTATTGTTAAAAAGGAAATTTCTATGGAAAATAAAAAAAAATTTGTATAATTTGCACAATTTTTATATGTAACCGGACCGCTGTGCTAGATAGTCTACATTGGCAACCAAATAACTACACGCTTAAACCAGGACTTGTTCGGAAATGCTAAGAAGTATGTTAAAAAATAAAAATAATTGATGCACAACACGATAAAATACACATCAATGGCCTAAAAACCATCCTCAACACCCTAGCTTAAATAAATGTATATATTTCCCCCGTCCAGAAAATGTAAAAAATGTAGTTTCTAGATGTTGTTGGAATTATGGAGACCCATTTAAAATGGTTTGCATCTTCCTCTCGAAGTGTGATATTACTGTTCTTTTATAATGCATATAATGTCCATAGGAAACAGCATAATATGATTTACATCGAGGAGAAAAGGATGTTACAGTAAACTAATCAACAAGCCTGACAATGGTTCTGGTGAATACACAATAAGAGCACAAAGCAATATGTGTTTGTAATAGCTGCTCACAAACTTCTCGTTTCATTCATCTGCTGTCTTTTTATATGTTTTCCCTTCTCTCTCCAGCATATGACGCTCATGATGAACAAAGGGAGACTGATTCAGCTCTGCATGTGAACAGACTTTCCAACGACAGGGGTGTGTGTTTTGCTCAACATAAACACAATTTATCAATAAAAAAGTAACAGTTTCACATAACATTACATAAAAACCTCCTCCTGACCTCCTTTGGTCTCATTATAGTGCAATTATTACACAGAACCTCTGTATTGCATTTAGTCGGGTGATGTAATGGTATAGTGTAGGTTGTAATGGGAGATTTAAGGTTCTATACAACAGTAATCTCAAAACAATTAAAATAATACACTCATGCCTTACGTCATATCATCTTGCAGTTATAAAAACACACACAAACATATATATAAAGCTTAAAACAAGATACACTATTTGGGGGGATGGAAATATATATTTTGTAATACATCCATAAAACTTTTTGCATCTAAAGATGACATTGTGTGTGTGTGTGTGTGTGTGTGTGTGTGTGTGTGTGTGTGTGTGTGTACGTGTTTTTGTGACATATCAGGACACAAATCTGTATAATGACATGGGTATGACCCAGGTATTTCAAAAAGGAGGTGGAATATGAGGACATAGGTGCCGTCCTCATTTTTCAAAAAGCTTATAAATGGCACAGGATGAGTTTAATCGGGGAGTAAAGCTGCACACAGTCTCCTGTGATGGTTGGCTTTAGGGATAGGGTGGGGTTAGGGCAACACAATATACGGTTTGAACAGTGTAAAATGAATGGAAACCTATGTAATGTACCCACTTTTCACAAAAACAAACGTGTGTGTGTGGGTGCGTGCGTGTGTCCACCAGACTTCTTTTTTTGTTAATGAGCATTTTCTATCAGGCTCCTCTGATTAAGTTCAGAAGTTTCATTTTAAAGGTAATGATAGGGTTATTAGCTGGTAAATAAAATACCCTTTTTTCAAAAATGCACTTTAGACATTTCTTTGGTTTTTAACAAGGTAGATTTTCTTTTGTGCTAAAACCAGCTAAATCCACTTGTGCTTTTTTTTTTTTTTTTTTGCAAAAAAACCCCCTCTAAATCCACCTATTGAGACAAGACAGTGTGATTAGTTGAAAAACACTAAAGATGCAAATATGATTTTACCAAACATAAAACACATTACACAAACCACCTAAAATAAAAAAATTAAAAACATAAATTTGTCAAGTAAGTGGTGGTTCATTCCGCTGTGGTAACCACTGATAAACCAGGGACAAAGCAGAAGGAAAAGGATTGAATGAAATCTGTCAAGTAAGTGCATTAATCAATAATTAATCAATCCGTCTTTCAGATGAGACGTTAAACCGAGGTCCCGACTCTCTGTGGTCGGTAAAAATCCCAGGATGTCCTTCGAAAAGAGTAGGGGTTTAACCCCGGCATCCTGGCCAAATCTGCCCACTGGCCTCTGTCCATCATGGCCTCCTAACCATCCCCATATTCCAATTGGCTTCATCAGTCTCCTCTCTACCAATCAGCTGGTGTGTGGTGTGCGGTCTGGCGCAAAATGGCTGCCGTCGCGTCATCCAGGTGGATGCTGCACACTGGTGGTGCATGAGGAGATTCCTCTCAATGTGTAAAGCGCTTTGAGTGCCCAGAAAAGCGCTATATATATGTAAGGAATTAAAATTAATTATTATAATTAATTATAATAACATTAAAACTGACAATAATTAAATCTTAACAACCTGTAGTCATTTTTGATATTTAGAATTTAGATTTAATGTAAGTAATGTAAACATTTACTGTATGTAAACAAGATTTGTTTTATTATTAAATTACATTAGCCCGGCTCCATTAAATAAGAAACTACATTTGTTGCTTTTAATGATATATTAGTATGTCTTAAAGTCTATGAAATGCTATGGAAGGGTTTTTAATTGTCTGTGTTATCTAATGTAGAACCAAAGTGCACTGCTTGTAAAGTGTTAACAAATTTAGTTAACTGTAACTATCCAAAAAAGAAAGACTAATCATTATTTCTCTATTTATTATCTGTCAGTTGAGCAGAATGCAGTGAAGCCAGCATTGTTTGAGAAGGTTCCAGCTCAGACGTTTCCCTCAGGCTTTCCTGCTTCTCTCCTGTTCACTGACGGCCTTTCCTCTGTCGAGACGCTGCTCACTAATGTTCAGGTATACTACAGCGAACAGACACAGACACACATACTGTACGCATGAGGAGGTGTAAGATGACTGGCATGCGGCCGTGTGTTTTAGGGTCTGCTGAAGGTGGCTCTGGAAAACGCACGTCTGCAAGAGAAGCAGCTTCAGCAGGAGAGGAGAGAGCTCAAGATGGAGCTGTACAGAGAGAGAGAGATGAGAGAGAGTCTGGAGAGACAGCTCACCTCAGAGCTACGCACTCGAGGTACTGAGCGAGCTTTAATATACTGTACACTAGCAGCCAGAAGCTTGGATAATTATTAGGATTCTGTAAAGCAGTGTTTCTCAACCACCTTCCTTGAGGAGCAGCAACACTGCATGTTTTAGATGTCTTCTTTGTTTGTCACACCAATTACATGTCTTTGAGTCTCTGCTATTGAGCTGATATTCTGAATCAGGTGTGTTTGGTTAAGGAGACCTGGAATATGTGCAGAGCTGGTGGTCCTACAGGAACGTGGTTGAGAAACACTGCAGTAATGTGTCCGAACAAAGCCATACTTTCTAAAAAATATATATATATATATAAAATAACGGTTTTAAACATCTTTAGTGTGACATGATCTTTCAGTAATCATTCTTATGCTCAAAAACATTTTTATTATTATTATCAATGTTTGATTTCTGCAAACATACAACAAAAAAAACATACGTTTTCAAAATTAATCAAAATAAATGTTTCTACAAAATACGAAACAATTATTTATATTCAATATTTCATAAAAAATGAATGCAATTATTATTCAAAACATGTTTTTGTTGAAAAAATAAAAATGTAAAATGTTTGAAAATATGCATGAAAATAAACATGTAAAGATTTAAATAATTAATTACAGCACTATGAGTAGAGAAAAAAAATATTTTTAAAATGAGGCAACTGAATTGGGCACTATGGATTCCAAAAAAATGTAAACCCTGGATATAGAAGACTTCGTAAAAATGTAAAAAAAATCAAACACCAAAAATTGTTATAAAAATGATAAATTATTATATGTCTTGGGCAATGGAAATTACTGCATGTACTGATTACAGATTACATGATGAAAATGTACTTGATCATGTAATTTAGATTAGTTGTTATTGACGAATTACCTACCTACGTCACACATGACGTCACACGGGTTCCCGGTTGCAAAAAGAGACCGATCGCAATAGCAAACATGTCGTGTTATGCGGTAGGCTGCCAAATTCGAACCAAAGTCGACTGAACTTTTACCGTACACCACACTGATTTTAATGCCAACAGCAGACGTCTTTGGCTAAAAGGGAGCTGAATGGAGTGACGACCTGATTAAAAATGCTGTGCTTGGCCATTTCGTCTTATCCAATATCCATTGGGAGGGTGCTATCACAAATGGACCTGTTGGACGAACGCTGCTCACTTTAACCTTAATATTGCCAAATAACTGTGCTTATAACTGGGTGACAAGCTGTTATAATACACTGAAAGCATTGTAAATGTAAATAATATATATTAGACAATTAATATATATTGATTGCACACACATTCTGAATGTTTACAAACATGGTTCATGGATCATTTTAGATTCACATTTTTTTTTTGGATCATTTTAGATTCACATTTTTTTTGGTCATTCTTCGTATTATTTGTATCAATAAAATTCTTGAAGTATGAATCACAAAATAATTGTATGACATTTCCAGAAAGAGAAATTCTAGAAAAATAAATATTGAGGAGAATCAATAAATGATAAATAATTTACTGTCATTAATTTAATGCAAGCCATAAAAGGTCATTTTGATCAGTTTATGAGCATTTAAATAAAATAATACAGTATAGTCTAATTACAAGTACTACGTTTGTAATCTGATTACATACTCAAGATTTCACATAATCAACTACCCAGCACTGGTTGTATAGCTTGTACTGAAAAAAAAAATAAAATTTAGAGCTCCTCCAGTTTTCTTTGATGTTTACACATGGAAGCTTTCTCTCATCTTTTGTCCTCCAGCCACCATTCAGAGACGTCTGAAGAAGGAGAAGAAGGCAAAGAGGAGGTTACAGGAGGCGCTGGAGTACGAGTCCAAGAGGAGAGGACAAATAGAGCAGGCTTTACAGCAGGCCACTTCATCAGACTCTCTAACACACGGTGAGACGCACTCTGACACACACACACACAAACACACATTCAGACCGATAGTCTTTCAGCAGGCTTTGTCAGCTGTCGCTGTCTGTTAACACAGATCCAATCAGTCTGGAGATGGAGACAGAGCGATGCCGCAGCCCAGAGGACAACTGCTTGTTACAAGGTATTGAATTTAAAAGGAACTGTGCAAAATGAGCTGTGCAAATACATACTACTCATACATGTATTTTTGAAAGTCCTAATAGTGTAAAGTATTTTTAAAGAGCAACATTCTGCCCATAAAAGTGTCATAGACACCTAAAACATTCAAGAATGGCAGAAGTCACACCTTCTACAGCACACTTAACCCTTGTGTACTATTGGGGATGTTTTGTCCACTCTAGGGGGGTGATTTGGAGTCTTTTTTTGGCCACAACTTTCTCTGTGTCTCAGCAAATGGAATGATTTTTGCTGACAAATCTTATTTTGACACATAATTAGGGAAAATGCTTTGGAATGTTTCAAAAGCTCAACAATAAATTCAAATTTACTACCCTTTCGTTATGTTCGTAGCTGTTTTTGCCCCATTGACTTCCATTATAAGGATGTTTTTTGATTGCAAAGACATGACATCAAATTACTCTATAGAACTCCAACCCTTTCTAAAAGGTTCCCAGCAGGCACACAACATTATAAGATGTTAATGTCAGGTTAGATTTAGGTTGTGACATTTGGACGTTGGACATCGCCTAGCGTTGGGTTCTGATGTCAATCTGATTTTCATTTCCAAACAAAGTGCAACGTCTATCTCACATATCATGACGCCCTGTGCCTGCTGGGTTATAGTGCCAACCGATGATCAACAGTAAAAATGACAAATTTTACCTTTTTCCAATAGAGAAAACTACCAACAATCAAGAAAATGTATTATTATTTAGTATCAAGAATTTGCAATAAAAAAATGTGGTTATAATGGCAGTCAATGGGGCAAAAACAGCCATGAACATAACAAAAGGGTAGTCAATTTGAACAGTACACAAGGGTTAAAAATGAACATTCTTTACTGGCATTGATGTTTCCCTGAAGACCCTTTACATCTATGGAACCTTTTCTACATAAATGTATTATAGTGGAAAAGGGTCATTTAGTTCATTACAATGCTCTTTTGTTTATTTTATTATTATTTTTTTTTTAAATAAATGTTTCTTTTATAAACTATTAATTAAATTTTTTTTTACATTTTTGGCAAAGCAGAAAAAGTGTCTTTTTGGATGGTTTTCCCGGCACACTCATCGTTAAGATCAAACGTTATGAAAGCTCACCTTACCTTTGCTTGTAGAATACAGATTGGGTTTTAGCATTGCATGGGTCAAAAGGTATATTGACCAAACATAACCAATCCAGCACTATCATCAAAAGTGAAAAAGTTTTTAATTCATTCATGACAGTATGAGACCAATTTGACTAAAATGGCTTTTAAACCGAACAAGATATTTTCATTAATTCAATACCCATGTGTGTACTGCATAATCTCACTCTGAGGTCACCGTTTGCTCAATGGCATGATTTGCATCATTGCACCTTTGCAAATAGGCGTAGACGTTAAAAAATACAGTTTATTTGGTAATTTAATAAATAACATAAATAATACCCGCTACAACTACTGTTTTTACATTACTGTGAGGGTTGGGTTTAGGGTTGGGTTTAGGGTTGGGTAGGGGTAGGCATTAATATAATACAATTAATGTGAAATTTAATAAATACTTTATGTGAAGTTTCACAAACTAATTTCGAGAGGAGCACCTGATATGATTGAGCATGACTGGCTTCTCATCTGTAATTAGTAATAATCCAATCAGAGTGATCCTAGCTTACTACAATGGATTGTTTTCTCCCTACTGCTTTAACTTCGTTTTGAAAGAATCCCCTCTACCACCCCATCTCCTCCTTTTCCTCCCTTTTGTAAGGGGGAGCTCTCGAGACCTACCTGATCTCGGATCCCCTTATATGCTTATTGACCGGGCGGGAGCCTTGGACTCAAGTATCTCAGAGTTCAGGGTTCTCTCCCGGGACAGCATGCCTAACCTGCTATAAACGCTAAGCATATCTAAATGGAAACTCTTTAAATAATTCTTGTTAACTTCCGGCCACAACCCTATCTGATCTAGCAACAACCGTTTAGTGCATTAAAAAACATGGATACCAGTCAATCAATTTTGAACACCTATTAGGCAGGGGCTAATCGGAATGATTGGTGGCGATCAGAGAATATTTCAATGTTGACGACTTGGGTGGTGGTGTTGGAGACTGCAGCAAATATATGAGGTGTGGGGGGGAATGGGTGTTAAAATATGGGAGTTTTCCGGGAGAAATAACCAAATGGGAGGGTTTGCATGGGGGTTTCCTCCGGGTGCTTTGGTTTCCCCCACAGTCCAAAGACATGTAGTACAGGTAAATTGGATAGGCTAAATTGTCCGTAGTGTATGAGTGTGAATGGGTGTATATGGATGTTTCCCAGAGATGGGTTGCAGCTAGAAGGGCATCGGCTGCGTAAAACATATGCTGGATAAGTTGCTGGTTCATTCAGCTGTGGCTACCCCAGATTAATAAAGGGACTAAGCCAAAAACACAATGAATGAATTAATGATACTGTGAAAAAAATCCTTGCTCTGTTAAACATCCCTTATATATGTTTGATACTTTTTTTTTTTTTAAATCACAGGAGGGCTTACAATTTTAACTTCAACTGTATTTAAAAGAATACCTTTGATGAACCATTCCTAGGTTTGCACAATACACATTCATCAGCACGCTCCTGTATCCAGTGTGCGTTTACATGAACGTGCGCAGTTTCAGCTGTGGCATATTCAGATTTGTTTTCTTGACCTCACTTCCCCTTCCCATCAGTCTTTCTCAGTCACACCGTGTGTCACTCGGCCGTGTCCTCCAAACACATGAGATCATCGGCTCCCTCTGTCTCACAGCGAAGCCATTAGCAAATAAACACGCAGATGAATCAAAAGACTGCGGACTAATTGCAAGTTTCCTGTGTAAGCAAAGCCTCGCCGCATGAATATTGGAGCGCCGTTTATCTGTTTCTGCAGCTGCTGTTCTCGCTCTCTCCCCCTCCGTGAGACAGCGAAAGCTACAAGATAAATTACACGAATTACACCTCGTGTTAATTTTATTAAAATGGCTCCCTAATGCTGAGAAAATCTACTACACTTTGGCAGCACGCTGGACTGGAAGAGGTGTTCATCTACTGTCTAATGTATGTTTTTTGCACACAATTACAAAAATTATGCCATGTTTTTAGGCATTTTTCAACACTATACTAATGGTTTATCTTCTGAACAGTCAGAAAATCAGCATTTGGAAGAATACATTCTCTTATTTTTTCCCCTCATAGCGTTATACATAAAAATCTTCGTTTTTTTATTAATTATCTTTTTATTTGTGTTTATTATACTTCGACTTTGTGTTTTTAAACATGTTGGTCCACCTTTTTGCTTAAATAATTGTTTTAACAAAATAAAAAGTGATGAACCATGTCCACTTATAGCTGTTCTTGGGATAATTAGTAATTTAGAGATGTTTAATAAATATGAAAGACAAGCCATATTATTTGGTATGGTAATTGACAAAAAGATGATTTTGAGAATGTGGAAAACTGAATCTGTACCTAAATTTGGTATGTGGGGTAGAGATATCGTAAACATGCTTGCTTTGGAGAGGTTGAGATATATATTACTAATAACAAATTGCGGATGTTTGATAAAACATGGGGACAGATATTAGAACACCTTAATGCATTGGAAGAAACACAAGCTAACCAATAACCCCTTTCGATAACACAGTAATTAAAGATTAAGTTTAATTGATATTCACAATTCATAATCTATAATGTTCTTAATTATGTGCCCAAACTATTATTTGACAATAACACTTTAGTCAGGATAATGCATTTTTTCTGGTGATACAACAACGTTACTTTATAATTGCTTTTATTTATGCATTAACCTGACCAGCTAAATTATATTTTGCTTTCATGTGCATTTGTCCCTCTGTGTTCTGCCGTTCGGTTGTTCTGTCATAGGTTAGTGTTTTTTTTTATTTATTTATTTTACTTTTCTTTTTTTTTTTTTTTTACATTTTTTTATTTTATAATTATTATTTTTATTTTTTATGTATTGTAATTTATATGTATTATATTATATTGTAGTGTGTTGAATTGGGATTTTCTGTATTTTGTTGCAGCAAAAAGCACATAAATAAACGTTTAAAAAAATATATATAAAAAGTGATTAATGACAAAGATTAATCATGATTAATCGCATCTATAAATATATTGTGATAAACTAGCCCATATATATATTGTTATATAAATACAATTTCACAAGATGACTTAAAATCTCTTTTTGGAAAGAATTTATAATGTTAGATCAATTGGGATGATTCTGCAGTGGGAGTCCATCTCCAGTAAATCTAATTACTAATTCATTGTGGTCTGTGCTATTTGCGGTGCATTTCTGTATTTGCATGTCATGTGAGTATTTTCATGCGTAACAATCTATAAATACAATCAAGAAAAAGACACAACTGAAATAGTGTTTTATCATTTCCCGATCAATATTGCTGCCGTTGGACAACATAATGTACTTTTGAGGCTTTTTTTAGGCGAGAATGTAGTTGTTTAGATTGCAACTACGCAGTTTATCTATAAGGATAGTGCCTATTTTAAATATTTATAATTTCTGAGAGACAGCACATCAGCGAGCATTAGCCTGTCATTGAGCAAAGCAAAGATGTTATCCATCCACAAGATGGCAACAGAGACCGTTGGCCATCTGTTTTTTTCTAATACGTCTCCTGCTTTCGTTACTGCAGACTAGTTCAGTAAAAAGAACGAAAGAAAAAATGCCCTCATGTGTTTAGCGTTTTTTCTTATCGCAAACACAACAGTAATCTGGTAGTGTTTGCGCTGCTTTGGCTTTTTCAGGGATAATTTTTGTGATCTCCCGATTGCAATGGAGAAATACTGGGAAATCTCTGTAGACGACATTTCATGCCAATGCCAATTAAAATGTAAGCAAAATCACCTGTTTTGTCATCACTGTAGACATTATAGAGAATTATTCAAATACTAGCTCTAAACTGACGTTGGTGAATTAGTAACGGTTTCGGCTGTTCTTAAGTCAGCTGCAGATGTGAATGAATGGCGGAAGAAAGTAGTTCCTCATACAAAAGAATTTTTTGACTCTCCATGTTTGATTTTCTTTTTAATATACACGATTATGCCGTTGAACTGTTGTATAAATGTAACATTACACGTAGTAGTGCAAAGTGGCTGTATTGTCATATATGTATATATAAACATTTTCTTAAATATATGCATGCATTTGTGTATTTGCATTTGTGTATACTCAAACTATGTCAAACATTTTTTTTTTTTTTGGATGCGATTAATCGCGATACATTTTTGCCAAGCACTAATTACAAATTAAGAATTCTGTTTAATAGAAATAGATTTTTTTTTTTACCATTTTTTAATATTTAATGCACTGCACATTTTTTTAATACAAAGTATCCCAAATGCTGTGGTGCATATGGCATATTATAATTTGTAAAACTCTTATTATTAAATATAATTATATGACCCACTTAATGTTATCTATGTTGATGTTATCTTAAGCTGTACACATTTAAATACTTAAAATAACAATGAAACACATTTTGGAGCTTTTAAAACAACCTCTTGTTTCTTTCTTACAGAAAGCAGAACATATACGAAAAATCCAATCATATACTAAGATGACGTGAACTCCCAGCGAGAGAATAAGGAAATTTTCCATATCATGAATGACCCCTACAATCAACTTCCTGAATAAAGTTTTCAATGAAGAGAGGACTTGAACATGAGCTTCAGATCTTCAATCGAATGCTCCAACCACTCTTTTTCTCATCCTCACAACATTCCAGGTTCCTCAACTGTTGTTTTTATTCACCTAGATTGTGCTTAATTCCCTGTTTTGCTGTGTGGAGAGCACTGCTGGCATTCTGTAACTGGTTTTAAACAGTGTTTTTTTTTAAATGATGTCATGACTTTATCCCTTCAGGACAGTGACCTTCAGTCTAAAGCCCTCACGAAGGAGCTGATGAAAATGTAAGAAAAAGAAAGGAAAAGAGATTTGGCTTGTGTTTCATTCTTGTTGAAAGACTCTGAAGAGTGTGGAATGTTACATTTTCTTGCTTTTCTCTCATATGACCATCTTCTGATTCTTCGGTCCATTTATTAGCTCAGTTTAGCTTCTTGATACTGTTCACCAGTTTGTATGTGGTAGTTTTCTTTTGTAAAACCTTACATTGTTTTATTGGCTTTCAGTCAGAAGGGAAAGCTACTGAATGTGTTTGTTCTGTATTTGAAACATTCCTAATGAAAAATACAGTATTACCAACCATTGTTCCTTCTAAAGTCTCCCTTAAGTGTTTTACCATTTATATGATGATGATGATGTTGAGGTCTGTATAAAAGTTTATTCAGTGTAAAACTGAATTCTGAGGTAAAAAGTCAAAATTGTAACAAAACCTCACAAATTATTCGTAGAATTGAGTTTTTGATCTTGAACATCTGTTTGTATTTCAGAATTTGGCAGTGAGAACATGCAAGATATGCAATATATAACCACAAAATCATCCTGTAGTTGCCAGAATTGCGAATTTTGAGTTATAAAATTTCCAATCAGCAGTTTATGTCTCATGAATGTGGGAAGAAAAATGAGATATAGGGTCCCATACACCTGGCCCAAGATGTTTGGCGCGATTTGTTGCTATTTTCAGACCAGCACAACTCTAATTTTCACATTTTGCACCACGTTGTTAAAATAGCAAATCCATTTGTGCCACTTTGTGGACTCATCAGCATGCTGGTCTAAAATGGAGGTATGTTAAGACGCATTTTGGCGCGTTGCTATTTTAAAGACTTAAATTAAACCGCGCCGTTGACCATTTAAAAGCAGTTCTAAAGTCCAGTGTGGAGCATGTTAGTTATGCACCTAATGTATGTGGGTTCAAACACTAACACAGTGCTAAATACACACATGATGTACAGCAATATACAAATGTCTTTACATATGAAACAAATTAAAGAATTAAAATGTTACAAAAAAAATTAATGGTAACACTTTATTTTGATGGTCCATTTGAGGATTAGTAGACTGTTTGTTTGATGTTGATACTGCTCCTTCAACAGACACTTAACTGGCTATAAGAAACTTAGCAAGTACATGTCAACTTACACTAACCTTAACCTAACAGTCTACTTATAATCTAATGAGAATTAGTTGCCATGCAGATGCAATGTAACTTAAATTCAACAAACTAACCATCAAAATAAAGTGTGACCCATTTTATTTTCTACATAAATATAAAAAACACTGCCTTCATGTCTTCTTCATGCCTCTATGCCTTTTTCAGTTAATTCATGACAATTTGCCTTTGTATAATGTTATTATTATTAGCAGTATTATTTATTATATGCATATTTATATTTGTTTTAATAGAAACAAGCTTAGATTTCTCAGCCTGTTGGGGTTTGGAGATGTCAGCATCACAATATGGGGCATAACAATAGGACGTGTTTGGATGTTACTCCATAATTGTTCATTTACTCATTTGCTGGAAATGAGAATTGAATTTAGAAATAGTTTTGAAACAAATCTTTGCACTTAACAAACTAAATTAAATATGTAGGTTAATTGATGTCTTCAGTGGAGCGTGTAGGCTGTAACACCGTTTCCTTATCTACGAATGTAAAAGAGTAAAAGTAAAGAGAAAGTAGAGGCCAAATGGAGAAGACTCGATCATTATCCTCGTGCTGCAGATGATGTTAAACTGTTTTCTCGCTAGTGAAGTGTTCAGTTTTTCCACTTATAAAGTCCGCCATGTAAATAGCAAATGCACCATTGCGTGACGCAACTATTACAGGGAATGTGAGATGAGATTCTAATCGGTTTATTCTCAAAACACACCCATAACAAATTAAGAGAATAAGCACAACCCTGTTAGATCATGCGCCTGGGCGCAAAGAGTATTTTTTTGTTCTTAAAATAGCAAAAGTGGATTCTGACACAACCTTAATTACACGATATGACAGTAATTTCACTATATGACAGTGTATGCGACAACATGGAAGTATATGTGACAAATAAAGGCCTTTGATTGATTCATTGATTGATTGATAATGCTTTTGCAACATGAGCTTTAGACTTTGCGACTAGATCGTTATAGAGCCCATAGGCTTTCACAACTGAGGAAGTCTTCAAACAAGCAGTTGTACAAAATAATCTCGATTTTGAGATTTTTAGATGTAATCTTAAAATATTTTCAAAATTCAGAGAAGTACTACTGTACAAAATAAATATGCTAAAAAAAGTTAGAACTGCTAATTGAATCAGTCAAAAAGTCAAATTTTTGTTGATTTTTTGATCCAGTGGCAGAATAAAGCTTTCATAGGCTTGTGGATATGGTTTCACGTTCCCAAGCATACACAAAGAATCGATTCACTAACCTTTTTAGCATAAGCTAAAACTAGACACTAAAACCGCAGAGGATATTTTCTAATGCATTTGGCATTTTCCCCAACATACAAGTCTTTATTTAGTCTGCGAGTTACTTAAAGAGGAAAACAGACTTCCCGCAGAACAAAATTCCCCGCTGGTGTTGTCAGGATGAGCCATCCATCCTATAGGCATTCGAATGCTAAATGATGTCTTGAAAGGTCTAGATCGATGCCTGTCAACGTTTTGCGCAGCGGAAAGAAGCGACAACCCAAATAAACAAAGCGATGCTCGTGTCACCTTGTCGTCAATAATGTTCTTGATGAAGGGAAAGCCATCAAACGGTCCTATTGATTCAGGTCATGCAAATGAGAGCCTATTAGTGCCGCTACGTCTCGGCCTTTATTGACACACATCAAGTCCTCATTAAGATTCAGTTTGTGGTCTTTTCATGACCCGCATTTCAAGCTTAAGCGTTATCCGGCACCTATGACTTTTTTTCTTTTTTTTTTTTTTGCAGTCTAAAAGGAATCCATCTGTGCAATTTCCTTTTCCAAACAAGGATATCATGACTCAAAGTACAGGGCTGTTACATGGAATTGTAATATTTTGCTTTTGCATACTTTAGGAATATCACCCGAGACCATAAATCTGTAGGGACCATAAATAGATTTGAAAACAATTCACTCTGATTTAGAATTGCTCTCTAAAAACGGCAGATGACCATCTGGGAACGTGGGAAAAGTGTGGTTTTAAAAACTGCAGCTAGCAAAAGATAGGAGCGGAAGATAAACATGTGTTTAGGATCCAGAAACGGCATCTGTTTTGCAATAGTGGTTATGTGAGAAATGTATTAGTACTGTAAACTTGAGCGGGACTGCTGTGTTTGTTTGTGTTTTCAGTCGATTTTCAGCATCCTGGAAAATATTTTATTTTAGCCATGTACGCTTTGAGTGTCTGCGTAAAAGGAAACTGCATACAGGATACTGTGTGATTAACAGAGCAGACTGGAAACGAAAAAATAAACTATAAAATGAAACCTCAAGTATTAAAAACAAGGTCTAATATGGACTGACAAAAGGCTTGAAGCTAAGTCAGAAGTGCTTTGGGAATTTCACAAATGATTGCAAAGAAGGCAAGTAATGCATTGAATTAAATGTGAATAGAATAACTGACAATGTGTAGCTAAGGTCAATGCATTATTTTCAATTATTGTTCATTCCATTATAGTGCATCTATGGTTATTAAATTTTAAGATATTTGTCAGGTTTTGTTGGTAAACCTGTCTTATTTTGAATAATTTCTTAAATCTTATCTCAAGCCTCTGCTGCTAATCGCAACATCTCTTTTGAAGCTTGTAACAGAAGCTTTTATACAGGGTTTCTGCAGGTTTCACCAAGTTAAATTTAAGACCTTTAAGACTATTATGAATTAAATTTTAGACTTACAGCGCTAAATGCTGAGGATTTTTTCAAGTATCCCAGTTAGAAAATATTTTCACTTGCCCTATCAAAAAATTATTATAATTTAATACATTTAATAATACAATAATAACAATAATGTAATACTACAAATTTAGACCAGGTCAGTATCCTCAGCACTAAATTAAAGAAGAACATTTAAACAAATGTTGGTAAATAGAGTTTAAAATGATATTTTTAAATAAAAGGTTTTATTGAGATGGATTGTTCGTGATTGCATGAGTGTTAATGGCCAGATTGGGCAGCTATACATGAAAAAAGAAAAACTAAGACCTGTTAAAAAGATTCAAGACCTACAACACCATATTTCAGTAGATTTAAGACTTTTTAAGGGCTAAAGTATAGCTTTTGGGATTTTTTAGGACCCCGCGGATACCCTGTTTATAGCAGATTAAACAGTTATTAGAGAAAGATGGAGTGATTTAATGTGTGCATCTCTGAACAGTTTGGTGCCCTTAGCAAGATTTTATCTTTCACCCCTTGCATTGCAGCCAATTCCACCACCAAATGCTATCAAACAAATAACACATGCAATGTAATGGGAGTATTGCACAAAAAGCTGACATTAACTCCATGTAGTGTCAGGCAAAGGTAGCTTTTAGTCATTTTGTTTTTCTGCAATATGAGAAAATATACTGCTCAAAAAATGAAGGAAACGCTTAACACAATGTGACTCCATGTGTTCTCTTTATTTTTTATGTATTTTCCCTGAATTACTTGAATATGGGAGGGAAAATCATTCTGGAAAGATCAGTGTGATTGAGTTAAGGCATGAATCTGCATAGAAAATGTAAAAAAAAGATTGTAAAATACTTTCTCTAAAATCAGAACAGATCTGAGAAAATGACTCTGATGCTGGAAATATTCATTCGTTTTCTTTTCGGCTTAGTCCCTTAATCTAGGGTCGCCACAGTGGAATGAACCGCCACCTTATCCAGCATATGTTTTACGCAGCGGATGCCCTTCCAGCCGCAACTCATCACTGGGAAACATCCATTCACATTCATACATTCAGCTTACCCAATTCGCCTGTAATGCATGTCTTTGGACTTGTGGGGGAAACCCACACGAACCCAGAACATGCAAACTCCACACAAATGCCACCTGACCCAGCCGAGGCTCGAACCAGCGCCCTTCTTGCTGTGAGGCGACAGCACTACCTACTGCGCCACTGCATCGCCCAATAAAGTATGGAAATATGTTAGATTAAATACAACAAAACTTTAATAAAAACTACTGACCAATGAATCAACAAAAAACAATTAAAGATGATGCTAACTAATTTAACTGTGACATTTTTCTAATAACAATAATAAAACAATATTTTGCTGAGTGCGTTTTTGAGTTATCTTGGCATGTTTGGGCATCTCATGGATCAAATTATTTTCAAATCTCTTTTGAGATCTTTAGGGCATCCACTGAAG